ACTCCCATGAGCCCTAGCCAGCAGGACCAGTGGTCAGGGATGATGGGAGTTGTAGTCCCAAAACACCCGGAGGGCTGAGTTTGCCTATGTCTGCTATAGGAGAAGAATCAGTTCAGTGGGTGGAGGATGAGACTGAGCTTTTATAAAGCTATACGTGGAGTGGAGAGAGAGGTTTCCCTCCCTCTATAGCAATACTAAAACTCTGAGTTGCCCAATGGAATCAATCAGTAATAGATCAGGACAGACAAAAAGAAAGTAATTATACCTTGCATAGAGAATGCATCGGGGAAGGGAGCAGAGCACATGCTTCGCATGCAAAAGAGTCAATCCCTGGCACCTGCAGGCAGGACTGAAAAAGACTCTGGTGTGGCAGACTGGAGAGCTGAGGCTACAGTGTCAACAGATGGACCGATGCTTTAGTTTGTTCTGCAGTGCTTCCCCAATGTTACCACATATGGCTATCCTGCCAGCACTTTAGAGAGTCTGCTTGCATAGCAGATCCTCTTAATCCCCACTCACAGGCTCCTGCAACTAGAGTTGTCCCAATACATTTTCCTGTAGGAGGTCCCACCCTCCTTGGAGATACAGAGAACCGAACCTGGGTCCTTCTATATGCCACCGAGGTATCACCCTTCTCCAAGGTTTGGCCAAAAGACCAAGCCCCTAGTGTTGTTGCACCCTGATTTTCAGGGTAGCACATTTTGCCTCTGCAGCCTGCTGGTAGTCACAGGAACCCTGACAGCAGTGGCTGCCTGTGAGCTCTTCCTCATCCGTGTGCCCCTGGGCATGGAATGAGTAGGCATATAGCATCACACTATTTTTTGGATCCTAACCAGCATGTTCTGGGGTTTCGGAAATATACTTCTTGCTCTGATCACCTACCTAGCATGAGGCTGGCACTTGTGTGAAGGGCATTCTCTATATGCAGTGGATGAAACTGGCACTGCATGGTTGCTGGTGCATTTATGCATTCACAAGCACCAGCGAAAGACCTGGATATTTGTCAAGGCTTTGTGTAGATTTGAGTGAGAGTGTTCATGTTTACTTTAGTTGACTGGTTGCAATCATCTGCCTTCTGACTTGGACTCAGATGGTGCATCTGGATTTGCTTAAATTAACGAAGAGTGGGTAAGGAATGTTCTAAGCGAAATAAAAATAGAAATGTCACACACCTATTCCAGGGGCAGAAGTTTGCTGGAGAGGCAGTTGAATGTCAGTGATAGGAATGCATTCTCCACTGACCATTCTATTAGAGGGAGGGAGGCTGGGCTGTGTGGTGTGCCTAATCCTCTGGTCCTTCTTTGCTCAGCACTTGCACAATGCCTGGACAAATAAATAAAGGCAAAATTCATTGTGTAAGCAGAGCAAAGCCAATGCATGCACATCAGTTCCTGCTGGAGTGCCCAGCCACGCCCTGGTTGCAGGGGATTTCCCCAAATGTGCTGTCTGTGATGGGGGGAGATGGCAACTAGGTGAGAGAGCCAGTCTAGGCCAGCAACATCCAAGAACATGGGGAAGGTCAGTAGCTCAGTGGTAGAGGATGTACTTTGCATGCAAAAGATCCCAGGGTTGAATCCCATCTCTAAGAACCACTGCCAGACAGTGTGAACAGTGCTAAGTTAGTATGGTTTGACTTGGAATAATAATAATAATAATAATAATTAATAATAATAATAATAATTTATTTATACCCCGCCCATCTGGCTGGGTTTCCCCAGCCACTCTGGGCGGCTTCCAAAAGAATATTAAAATACAATAACTTATTAAACATTAAAAGCTTCCCTAAACAGGGCTGCCTTCAGATGTCTTCTAAAAGTCTGGTAGTTGTTTTTCTTTTTGACATCTGGTGGGAGGGCACTCCACAGGGCGGGTGCCACTACCAAGAAGGCCCTCTGTCTGGTTCCATGTAACTTGGCTTCTTGCAGTGCGGGAACCGCCAGAAGGCCCTCGGTGCTGGACCTCAATGTCTGGGCAGAACAATGGGGGTGGAGACACTCCTTCATGTATACTGGACAGAGGCTGTTTAGGGCTTTAAAGGTCAGCACGAACACTTTGAATTGTGCTTGGAAACGTACTGGGAGCCAGTGTAGGTCTTTCAGGACTACTGTTATATGGTCTCGGCAGCTGCTCACAGTCACCAATCTAGCTGCTGCATTCTGGATTAGTTGTAGTTTCTGGGTCACTTTCAAAGGTAGCCCCACATAGAGCGCATTGCAGTTGTCCAAACGAGAGATAACTAGAGCATGCACCACTCTGGCGAGACAGTCTGCAGGCAGGTAGGGTCTCAGCCTGCGTACCAGGTGGAGCTGGTAGAAAGCTGCCCTGGACACAGAATTGATCTGCGCCTCCATGGACAGCTGTGAGTCCAGAATGACGCACAGGCTGCACACCTGGTCCTTCAGGGACACCATTACCCCATTCCAGACCAGGGAGTCCTCCACACCCGCCTGCTTCCTGTCCCCCCAAAACAGTACTTCTGTCTTGTCAGGATTCAACCTCAATCTGTTAGCTGCCATCCATCCTCCAACCGCCTCCAGACACTCACACAGGACCTTCACCGTCTTCACTGGTTCTGATTTGAAAGAGAGGTAGAGCTGGGTATCATCTGCATACTAATGAACACCCAGCCCAAACCCCCTGATGATCTCCCAGGGGCTGCATGTAGATGTTGAAAAGCATGGGGGACAGAACCCTGAGGCACCCCACAGGTGAGAGCCCAGGGGTCTGAACATTCATCCCCTACCACCACTTTCTGAACACAGCCCAGGAGGAAGGAGTGGAACCACTGTAGAACAGTGCCCCCAGCTCCCAGCCCCTCAAGACGGTCCAGAAGGATGTTCTGGTCAATGGTGTCAAAAGCTGCTGAGAGATCCAGCAGAACTAGGAAACAGCTCTCACTTCTGTCCCTAGCCTGCTGGAGATCATTGACCAGTGCGACCAAGGCAGTTTCAGTCCCATGATGAGGCCTGAATCCGGACTGGAAGGGATCCAAATGGTCTGCTTCTTCCAGACGTGCCTGGAGTTGTTCAGCAACCACCCACTCAATCACCTTGCCTAAGAATGGTAGATTTGAGACTGGACAATCGTTGGCCGTATTGGCAGCATCTAAAGAGGTGATATGATAGCCAGCTCCAAATGCTTGAAGGGCTGTCCCATGGAAGTTGGAGCAAGCTTGTTTTCTGCTGCTCCAGAGGGTGGGACCTGATTCTGACTAAACATCAGGAAGTACTTTTTGACAGCGGAACAGACTAACTCATAAGTTGGTGGACTTCATTGGAGGTTTTCAAACAGAGGTTGGATGGCCATCTATCAGGGAGCTCCCTTAGGGTCCCTTGTAACTCTGCAGTTCCTTCATTCTATGCAGTTTTTAAGGATTGAATGAAGAAGACATCAGCCTAGATCCCTTCTTGATGCCCCAAATGAGTGGTACAGTTGTTTATTCATTTTCTTTTTTGCCATTGATAGCATCTCTGACAATAGCATCAGAATATATTTAGCTGTCCTTACAGTCCTGAAGTTCAGTGGACTTCTTTTACGCAAGTTAGCTTTGATCTTTGAGGCAGGGTTTTTTCCTCTTATGAGTTTGTTGCATAAGGGCTCCTGGATCATTTTTTAAAATAGCTTAAGGATATTAGCATCCCATACACATCTCTGAAGGAGATGGGTATGACTCACAGTGCCATAAATTCTGTTGCGGTCGTCAGCACGCATCCTGAGGAAATTATACAAAATTACAGATTTATTTTCAGGATTCTATTATTTTCATGGACAGATTTCAAAGCCAGCTGATGCATTCTGGATGGCTAGATGGCTTCTTGTTGACCGGCTGGACAGCTTCAAATTAGGTCCCTCAAATCTAATTATAGCCCCCACATCACTGGAAACGCAGAGTTTGGTACTTGCTGTCTGTTGGTTTCTGTGGCTTTTATGAGCAATTCCAAAATAATTAGAGTTGATATGTAGACTCTGAAATTGTCGCATCCCAATCACTGCATCATTTCAGAGCTGTAGGTTGCAGATCATATAATGATACCACAATTTCTCCACTTAAGCTCCTCAGTAACCCTTAAGACTCTAACGTCATGTTATGCTTACCCTGTTTGTCCTGTCAGGGAATTTCATGCGGTGCAGTACTTACCCAGGCTTGATTTTCTTTGGAAGGTCACTGGAGCCTTAAAAACATAAGGTCCTGCTGGATCAGGCCAATAGCTCCTATAGCTAAGCATCCTGTTCTCACAGTGACCAGCCAGATGCTGCAATGGGAACCCTGCAAACAGGACATGAGCACAACAGCTGTCTCCCCCGTTGTGGTTTCCATCAACTGAAATTCAGAAGCATTACTGCCTCTGCCTTTGGAGGCAGAGCGTAGCCATCATGGCAAGCAGCCACTGATAGCCTTGTCCTTCATGAATATTCCAAATGCTTTTTGTAATATTTGAGTTTAGTAATTGGACTTTCTCCAGTAAGGAAAAAGGTGCAGAAACGCAGAGGAATGTGTGGGATTACTATTACTTGATGTGATGGTGTGTAAGCTTCCCCACAAACAAATCAGAATGCTCTACAAACAGTGGACAGTTTATAACCTCCCTGCAACCTTTTTGCAAACAAATAATCAGAATGAATGTTCAGTAAACAGGCCACTTGGGTGTGGTAATGTCTGAATGTAAGATTATGGGTGCACATAGTTTGTCTAAGGCACCTGCAGTCTACCATTTGTTTCTGTAGTTGTTCTGGTCACATTAATTCTCTCCTGTCAAACTCCCAAGCTTATAACAATAATCTTACAAGTGTGTGGGCAATGCTTAATGAATCATAGAAAGATAAGAGTTGGAAGAAAACTTGTCTAAACCAACCCCCTACTTGATGCAGGAAATCCAGACAGTAAGAGCATTCCCAGAACACTGCTGTCAAACATAGCCTCTGCTTGAAGACCAGGGAGAGTCCATCACTCCTCTGGGCTGTTGGTTCCATCAGTTTCAGTCTAATTCATTGGTTCTTTGGGGAATGGCTGCAGCTCAGTGGTAGAGCACCTGCTTTGCATGCAGAATGTTCCAGGTTTGATCCCCAGCATCTCCAGGTAGAGCTGGGAAAGAATCCCTGTCTAAAATCCAGGAGACCAACTGCTACTTTTTCCTAGTGTTCAGCTGAAGTATGCCCTTTATATTGTGAGTCTGCTTCACCTCATCCTGCCCTCTGAAGCAATGGAAAAGAAGTCTTTGCCAATTTGTATGCAGCAACCTTTCATGTACAGTGGTACCTCGGGTTACATACGCTTCAGGTTACAGACTCTGCTAACCCAGAAATAGTGCTTCAGGTTAAGAACTTTGCTTCAGCATGAGAACAGAAATCGTGCTCCGGCGGCAGCAGGAGGCCCCATTAGCTAAAGTGGTGCTTCAGGTTAAGAACAGTTTCAGGTTAAGTACGGACCTCCGGAACGAATTAAGTACTTAACCCAAGGTACCACTGTATTTGAAGAAAAGTGTGTGTGTGTGTGTGTGTGTGTGTGTGTGTGTGTGTGTAAAGGGGGTGGAGACTGAGCAAGGCTTCCTGCGATTGACCTTTCAGTGACCTTAGGAAACAAGAAATTGCCTCCCACTGAGTCAAGCCACTGGTTCATCTAACTCACTGTTGACTACATTGACTAGGAGCAGCTCACTAGGATTTCAGACTGGGGAACATTCCCAGCCCCAACTACCGGTAGCTCCCGTATGCAAAGCAAGCAACTGTATCCCATCTCCTGAGGACTACTAACATAGGCAGAATCAATTGGGCAATATAAGGAAGCATATGCAAATCTGCTTAATCATGCTGCATAATTTACAGGCTGCTTCCTGGGGAGCAGAATTTCAGTTGCCTGGGTGTGCATAGTTAAGTGCAGGATAGACACAATCCAATTTATTAACTTTTCCTTGTAATGAATGTAAGAAGAGTTCTGCTGATCAGGCTAAAGTAGATCCATCTAGACCAGAGATAAGGAGCTTGTGACTCTCTGATGGACTCAAATTCCCATCAGCCCCAGCCAGCATGGTCAGTTGTCGGGAATGATGGGAATTGTATTCCAGAAGTATCTGGAGGACTGCAGGTTCTCCACCCCTGATTTTGACCAACTTCCTGCTTCTCAACCAGATGCTTCCAGGAAGCTCATGAGCCAACAATGGCAGACAAACTTCCTGTTTAGTGTGAATGCTGCCCATTTTCAAGATATTGCTGGAACAGGGTAGGGAATCTTTGGCCTTCCTGCTGTTGTTGGGCTGCAGTTCTCATTACATGCCCAGCTTTGGGGGCTTCCCTGAAGCATCTGGTTGGACACTGAAAACAGAATTCTGGACTAAAAGGGCCTTTGATAAGGCAGGGATCTTTTGATAGGAGCTGCAGTGCAGGAGCAGCTGGAGGGCTGAAGGCTCATCCCTGCTGGAAAGAGTCCACTCTTTAAGCCTGTGAATACAGTGAACCAGATGATGACCCCAATACTTAGTTGTTTTTGGAGGGAAATCTTTCTGCCTGTTTCTCTTCTTTTTATGCCAGGTGCCACAACATATTGCATACCCATTTTTCTACAGATGCTTTATGCCTGAAAGTCCATCAAACAACTCAGTTTTATTTTTTCTTGTTGTCATTGTTGAAAACACCCAGAGGTTCCACACACAACACCTCCTTCCTTCCTTCCTTCCTTCCTTCCTTCCTTCCTTCCTTCCTTCCTCTCTCCCTCTCTCTCATTTCACTACTGAATCAGAGCAAATGGCATTTGGGTTTTCCATGGATTTATGCTTGCTCCAATTCAATGGTGAAATGTCGATTTTCCTGGGGAAAGTGCCTGGACAAAGCAAAAGCACTTGGGCAGAGAGCTTTAACGCACAGACCTGTGCCTGTAAAGTGTGCTGCAAAGGAAGTCTGGATGAGTTTTCTTTTCCCTGGTTCTTTTGCCTCAGTCTCTTTCACAAACAGAAGCAAAATCTCTGCACATGCAACTGCTTTTGCTCACATGCTACTTTCCTTCCCTCTCCCTTCCCTGCTTTTTAAATGTATACTGTATGTTCCTTAGGACATGGCCTTTGCTACATTTTAAGGCACTGGATTAATTGATTTATTCAATTTCCATCTCCTCTTTTTCTCCAAGTGACATACATGCTCTTCTTCCTCTCCATTTTATCCTCACAACAACTCTGGGAGCTAATTTAGGCTGGGAGACTGTGACTGGCCTAGGGTCACCCAATGAGCTTCATGGCTGAGTGGGGATTTGAACTCTGGTCTCCTAGTTCCTAGTCCAGGACTCTAACCTCTGCACCACACTGGCTCTCTAGAACTGGATGAGGTTGAAAGTAGTTTGATTTAGGACCTCTTCTTCTAACACACCCTGCTGTGAAAAGTGCAGTCTTGTGGCGATGCCTTACTCAGCCTTACCTCGAAGCCCACTAAGGAAGGAGATACTCCCCTCAACACTTCTAGGGATCTTGTCCGTGGCTTACAAATCAAAACCAAATTCCTCACCCTTATTCCCCCTTTTTAGAAACCTCCAGAGTTGTGCCTACCTGCACCCAGCTTTGGTTTACAACGCAATAAGCTTGATTTCCCTCTTGGCTGTTCAGCCAATGTCAGACATCCCCAGCTGGTCCATCACTCAGTTACAAAGATGCCACAGTCCCCGCTGAAGCAGCTTCTGACTTTGATTCAGAAAGGAGAAGCCAAATGCCTGTGTCACCCTTGATATCTTTGTCTGCAGATTAAGGACTTCTGCTACAGCATCCTGCAGTTTAATGAGATGCAAGGCAGAGCCAGGGATTGCGGTAAGGTGAGGACACAAACTTGCAAGGATGTTCCAAGTCAGCTTCCTCCAACCAGCTCTCCCCAGTAGCTGCTGGACTGCAGCTCTCATCATCCCTGACCAATGGCTTATGTGGTTGTGGTTGTTGGGAGCTGGAATGCAGCAGCCCCTGAAATAGTCGTAGTCGTAGTCGTAGTAATAGTAATAATAATAATAATAATAATAATAATAATAATAATAATAATAATATAATTTATACCCTGCCCATCTGGCTGGGTTTCCCAACCACTCTGGGTGGCTCCTAACAGAATATTAAAAACACAATAAAACATCAAACGTTAAAAACTTCCCCGAAAGGCACAGAGTTCAATTGTCCTCTAACTGGTACACCATACCAGGTTGAGAAAGGCTCTTCTAGGTCTTAATCTCACTTAGTTGCATCAAGGTGGGAATTCTACCTCCCTTTCTTTTACCGCTTTCCTCTAGTGTAATGGCAGGGTCTCTTCATGCTAACCACAGCTCTGGAGCATAGAGAACAACAACTCCTCAGTGTCTTCTGATGCACCTCCTCCGGAGTGACCCTGGGAGCCCGTCCTCAGGGACTGACTCACCTCCTTTCACTCTGACTGGCTCCAATCATCGCTAAGGGCCAGAAGGCTTATTCTCGGTGGTTAAAAAGTCCCCCTTTTCATGCTGGGTGGTTCTAGGATGCTGGAGACGGGAACCCTGCTGGAGAAATTGTTATGGGTCTTTGACTCCCTGCCCCACGGCATCCCTGAACTACTACACTTGTGCTGTTCTCATCCATGAAGTTTTAAATGTTTTTAAAAAGAAATGACCCCAAATCCATTTTAGGCCTTGGATTTCCTAACAGTGGAGGCAGGCTTTAACTTGCTTTAATTAAAATGTTACTTTATTAAGACCGACAGTCTGCTGCATCTTGTATGTATTAACTCACATTATCCTAGGAATGGAGAAAAGCTGTCACTGGAGGAACAGTGGCTGCTGTATCTTTTGCCATGATCAAGGAAAAGAATATACAACCAGGTTTTTTATTTTTAAAAAAATGTGCAAAATTGACAAAGTTCTGAAAATGTCACCAGTGCACACCAATTAAGGACACTGCCAACAACACTGCTCCCAACATGGAGGGCAGTGAACTTGAAACAATGTGGACACACACCTGGCATATCTCTCTGCATCCACACATAACACGAACCTATCTGCCCTATAAATTTAAAGCACTATCACGCCACATGGATTCCTGGGAGCTGTACAGTCATACCTCAGGTTGAAGTAGCTTCGGGTTGAGCGTTTTTGGATTGCGCTCCATGGCGACCTGGAAGTAACGGAATGCGTTACTTCCGGGTTTTGCTGCTCGCGCATGTGCAGAAGTGGCGAATCGCGCCCTGCGCACGTGCAGATGTGGGTTGTGTTCTGTTCTGGATGTGAACGGGGCTCTGGAACAGATCCTGTTCACATCCAGAGGTACCACTGTAGTTTGTTAAGGGTGCTGAGAGTTGTTAGGAAACCCCTATTCCCAAAACCTACAATTCCATCCTTCTTCAGGAACAGATATTGATTGCTAAACCACTCTGGGAATTGTAGCTCTTGGAAGGGAATAGGAACCTCTTGACAACTCCCAGCACCCATCTACAGTTCCCTAGACTCTTTGCTGAAGGGCATGACTAAAGTAGCATAATAATAATGCTTTGAAAGTATATCACCGATTCCGCAGTGCATACGTTCTATTAGTCCCAGTTGCATATAAGAACATAAGAAAAATCTGGTTGCAGGGTCAAGCCAATAGGCATCAACTCAAGCATTCTGTTCTCGCAGCGGCCAACCAGGTGCCATTGGGAAACCTGCAAGCAAAACCTGCACGCAAGAGCACTTTCCCCTTTTGTGGTTTCCAGCAACTGGTGTTGAGAAGCACTGCTGCCTCCATCCATGGATGCATTAGCCATTGTATCCAGCAGCCATTGATAGCCTTCTCCTCCATGGATTTGTCTAATCCCCTTTGGAAGGTATCTAGGTTGGGGCCATCACTGCCTCCTTTGGGTGAGTGAGTTCCATAGCTTAACCATGCACTACACGAAGAAGCCGTTTCTTTCATCTGTCCTGTATTGTCCAACATTCAGCTTCATCAGATGTCTACAGGTCCTAGTCTTATGAGAGAGGAAGAAAAACTTTTCTGTATCCACTTTCTCCATGCCAGGCATAATTTTGTAAACTTCTATCATGTCACCTGCATTTTCTCTAAACTAAAGGTCCCAAACTCTGTTACATTTCCTCACAGGGGAATCATTCCACC